TGGCTCCTTTGTCGAAGATTAGCTGTCCTAGATGTGTGGGTTTATTTCTGGGCTTTCGATTCTATTCCATTGATCTGTGTGTCTGTTTTTTGTGCCAGTACTATGCTGTTTTGGTTACTATAGCTTTGTAGTATATTTTGAAATCAGGGAGTGTGAGACCTCCAGGCAAGCCACTTCTTGTTTGCATGAAGGCAATGACCTCTTACCTTCTGTAGTTGCTTCTGTCTAAGTCCTGTTGTAGTCTATTCTCAACCAAATGCTAGGATAACTTACAACTCATGTCAGTTCTCTCTTCAAAACCTTGCAATGACAGCCATGTCACTCAGAGCAAAAGCCCAAATCCGTGAACACAGCAGGGAGATTCTGCCCTCAGGGCCTTTGCACATGCTGTTCCCTTTCAAGAAGGCTCTTCCTCCAGATCATCATGTGTCTCACCTCTGCACATTCTTTTTCTTTTTGCTTAAATTTCCCCTTCACAGTGATGCCCACCCAGACTACCTGTTTAAAATACATCCCACCCTACAGAGCATCCCAATTCTGTTATCCAGCTATACTTTACTTTCTTCTTTAACACATCACTTTCTAGTACACTACATTATTTACTCATTTATTATGTCTATTGTTATTGTCATTTCCCCACTAAGATATAAGTTCCATGAGGACAACTACTTTGTCTCTTTTATTCACCAATGTACCCACAAGTTCCTATATCAGCTCCTGGCACAGAGTAGGTATCCAATTAATATTTGTATGATGCATGAATGGCCCAGTGTGACACCTCCCAGAGACCCTGAAGTCTATTTTAAGTGGTTAATCTCTATGGAAATTCCGTCAGAAACTGAGTTTCGCCAAGTAGATGACTTGGTGCAAAACAAAAGCAAATTGCATATACTCAGGAAGCAGAAGAACCCAGGAGAAGAAGACCACAAACTCTCTTCCCCACACTCATCCTTCCTCACACCCAGTTGCAGAAGCTGCAGAAATCTCATGAGATGGAGGTGAGGTAATGGTTAAACCCATGAGCTCTAGAATCAACTGCCTGAGTTCAAATCATAGCTCTACAATTACCACTGAGTGACCCTGAACCTCTCTGTGCTTCCGTCTTCTCTTCTGTAACGTAGAGGGGACAAGAGTATCTACCTTGGATATAGTGATCTCATGACATAACAGCCATAGGCATTTCCAACAGTGTCTGGACATGGGAGTGTTCAGGAGTTAAAGTTATCACTCATTAGAGTCCTGGGGCATGGAGGCTTCAGCTGACGTTACAGGATGTAGATGTGGATATGGATACAGATATGGATATAGATACAGATATGGATATAATTATAGATACAGATCAGATAGGCAGGAGTCTCTGTATCTTTTATCCCCTTCTCTCCACCTCACCTCTATCCAGCATGGAAGGAGGACTCCAATGTAGTAACGCATGGAAGAGAGAAGTTTGCTTCTCAAAAGCATTTGGAGGGGCAATAAGGAGTAAATTTAGAGAAGCAGAAGGGAAGGATGTTGGCTGAGAGACAGAGAAAGTTAAACGTCTGTTCAAGGTGCATTTCACGTAGACTGAAAATGATTTGAAGAAAACTATAAGGAAAGCCTTTTAAAAAAATCCCATGTGTGTGTGTACAATTCCTCACACCCACTTATACACATAGACCCACACACACACACACACACACACACACAATACAGGCATTCACAAATAGATATAAAATTGTGGCTCAATGCTAGTATAAAGGGTTGTTTTGTGAATTAAATGAAATTATAACACATATTAAGAACTCGGTAAAAAAACTGGCACAAGGAACCACCCAACACATCACTAACAAAAGTTTGCCAGTGCACACAGAATTGGAACTCTGGTGATCTCTAAATGACATGATGCTGATGATTATTCTTCTGTTTGCTTCTCTATACTTTCTGATTTTTCTGCAATCAGCCTCCACTGAGAAGCCGAGCAGCATAACATGGTTAAAGGAATGAACTCTGGGGCTGATAGGCCTAGAATTGAATCCTGGCTGCTCCACTGCCTTAGGTGGGTGACACTGGGCAAGTTACTCTCTCTGCCTCAGTTTCCCCATCTGTAAATTGGGGATAATGGCCATAGCAATCACACAGTGTTGCTATGAGGATTAGACGAGTTAATATACACAAAATTGTCCTTGTTGCTGTTGGAAGCATCATCTGTTTTGACGCCTCTGGTAACCAGCTGCAGGTGATGGATCCACAGAGAAAATGCTCATACACCTGATTTCATGCTCTCAGATAACGCCCGGTCCTGGGCCTTCTGTGGTAGCTCTGGGTGGTGCGCCTGTGTTTACCTGAAGGCCCTAAAGTTCCCTAGACAGAGGGAGGGGATTCTACCCCAAGGAATGCTCACCTGTGAGTCCCAGCAGTAGAGTCAGCAGCAGGCAAGGAGGAGGGAGGTGGGGCCGGGAGGCAGGGACGGGCATCATGGAGGCCTGAGGAGCCTGCTCTGTCCCTGTGTGTGCTGGGGAGAACCCTGACTTCCGTGCTCTGTGGAGAGGAGAGAAGGCCCACCTCCCGTGATATAAGAGGAAGCACCTACGATGGGGTGACATGGCTGTGATAGCAACCTGCTTCTAGATTCTAGACGGTTTCTGTTTCTAGATTGTGAAATAGGAGTCAGGCAGAGAAGGCAGCTACAATTGAGGAGTTACTCACCTTCTGTTTTCAGAGAGACAAGGACAGGCCTAGCAGAAATAATGCTTCCTTCCTGTCAACAAAAGAAATTATTTCTTGACTTCTTTCAGGAGAGGAAGTGGGTTATATGACCCAGCAATTATGCTCCCAGGCATTTTTTTCAGAGAAATGAAAATTGTCCACACGGAAACCCAGGCATGAATGTTTATAGTAACTTTCTTTGTAATAGCAAGAAACAGGAAACATCCAAGATATTCAATAATAAGTGAATGGTTAAATAACTGTGCTGCATCCAGACAAGTAAATACCACTTAACAATAAGAAGGAACAAATTATTTATATGTGCAACAACTTGTAAGTTTCTTGCAGGCATTGTGTTGAGTGAACAGAATCAATCTCAAAATGTCTCATATGTATGATTGCACTTATATAACATTCTTGAAATTACAGAGATAGAGAACAGATTGGCACTTATCAGAGATTTGGTATGGTGGGCATGGGTGTCACTCTAAAGGGCGAGCACAAGAGAGACCTTTGTGGTCATGGAATTGTTCTGCATCCAAACACACACATGAGAGGACCAACATAAGCAAAAGCTGGAAATGTTACAAGATTCAGCTATAAATAACAATCTCATAGTCATTATAACATTGACACTGAATATTAAGTTATATAAAATTATAGTATAATTATATTAGGGTGATGGGGAATAGAAAGTGTGCATGTGAGGCACGAGGTCAGGAGGAACAGAACATTATATCCCCACCTTCCGTAGTGAGAAGTCGATAAATAATGCCTAACAGTCAGAAATCAAGAAGTAGCAATAGAGCATGTTTTTTTTTTTTTTAGGTTTTTTGTTTTTTTTAATTTTTTGTTTATTGCAGTAACATTGGTTTATAACATTGTAAAAATTTCAGGTGTACATCGTTGTACTTCTATTTCTGCATGGACTACATCATGTTCACCACCAAAATACTAATTACAACCCATCACCACACACATGTACTGAATTATCCCTTTCACCCT